TCGATACACAACATACTTGTTGGGAACACACCTCCAACAACAAAAAGTGTTTAAAAATAACAGCAGTTCTTATAAAAAAAAAAAAAAAAAATCCTAAATAACGTCAATTATGAACGTGGGCATAATGTACTGGCAGTATTAGGGAATTGACATATCTACGCTTAGACTGTCTACAATAGCACTTACATATCATTTATTATTATCATAATATAACTAAAATTCTTAAGAATGGCTAATAGATTAGCAAAAGGCACTTGGAATCAATAAACATTTGGACAATTTCTAGATTTGTTAAAACACTTGTTACCATGCAAGAAAAATATAATGAAAATCTTAGCAAAAGTAGCTTGTCAGTCTTGTTTAACAAAACAAATACTAAAGAGGGATTACTGCCTAATGCACAACTTTATATATATATATATATATATATATATATGTGTGTGTGTGTATAGCAATATCAGCGTCAGCTGATAAGGACATCTGCAGGATGTTACAGGAATCATTTTGGTACTTATTGTCTTAACAAAGAAGGTCAGCTGAGTGAATTGAATCTCACAAGAACCAAGTTAAATGATCCTAAGAAAGAAGGTTTGCTGAGTGGAGTGGACTTGATGAATGATTTTTTAAGATGAGAGATGACAGCACAAAGAAGGATGTTTCTCTATAAGACAGTGGTCCCTAGCAGCCGAAAACAGAAGACTGCTTCGCCGTCACATGAAAAGGAAGGCACATGATGATTAGACCATTCACCCACCCCAACACTCTGCCCCACTTTTCATTTGCTTGCCTGCAGACAGCCCTTATGAGAAGGTTGCAACAGAATGAAGTTTGATAATTGCTACAATTTCGTCTCATGGTTTTATTTTGTGGGTAACACTGACTAATGAGTTATTTTCAATGTATTAAGCCACAAGTGTTTGACTGGAAGAAACTACGTCTTGAAAAATGAAGCTGGTGTCTTGTCTGAGCTGCAATGCTACATATGCATATAACCTTGGGTGGCAACCGGCCTAGGAGAAGGATGATTCTGAATTCAAAACCTGAGGAGTGTTATGTGGGGACCTTGTGCACTAGTTCTCTGTATTTGGCTCTTAAAAAAAGTGTGGTCAGTTCTGCACAACCTTTCATCGTTATAATCAAATCATATGTGCAGGTAGTCTGGCTGGTTGGTTCTAAGAACTGAGCTGTTGGACCCTTATATGTTGAAAACCTGATGGGAGAGTTCTCCATGTATGCATACAGACAGCACATAATGTTATCTTCAGTTTTTTTTTCATATCTGTTAAATGATAGTCATTATTTTATTTTAATTTCTAACTGATTCTCAACTAAAAGCTGACTGTAAAATGATAGTATTCTGAATGTGACCTGTAGTAGAAACCATAAAATAGATTTATTCTTTAGTCTCTAAAATACTAAAAGTTTATGGAACAAATTGACTTCTAAAGAGAGCAAGCAAGAAATTCATTGGATAAGCTATCATTAAAGACTAAATTAGTCTCTGCAGCTATCTATATTGAACTACTGATAAAATTTCCTGCTTGCTATAAATGGATCTTAAATTTTGTCCACCTTTAACTTTAGAATAATAAATGAAAAAAAAATCAGAAGATATAATGTTTTCTTTAAAGTTAGAGCAATATTTATTAAGTGTCAGCAATGTTACTTCTGATAAAAAATGGCTCTCAGGTGAATGCTTGAAAATAGATTTATAGCACATTGTCTGATTTAAGATGGTCAGGTCCTGTCAAACACTATTTACATCCTTTGAACTGTTGTCCTCATCTTTATTGTCATATTCACAATGTTTTGGCTGTTGTATGGTCTGACCTTCTTCAAAGGTGATACATGTTAGAATTTAGATCAGATTACTTTATTTAGTTCATGGGGGTAAATTGTTCTAATTCCACATGCCATGCCTTTTTTGGATATCTCAGTATCAGTTAATTCCCTTTAGTAACTCAACTCTCCAAGATTTTGTTGACCTTTACTGTGATTTCACAACTCTTTGGGTCAAGTCACTTTTTGGATTACTTCAACCAACACTTTTATCCACCGGGCATTGTATCCATGGGGAAGGTCAGAGCATACAATGGCTGAAACATTGAATATAACAATAAAGATGAGGATAACATCCTGAACGATGTAAACAGTGTAAATAGTTACAATACCTAATCTCAGAAATATAGACAAATCCTGCCAAAAAGTTTAAAAACATTTTCTTACACTTCAGGCATACATACACACACATACACACACTGCTTTATTCATAGGCATAATTTTCCCTTCTAATATATTCTTTTTCAAAGTTCCTCATTGGTTGTACTTTTGCTAGTAGCTCACAGACCGTCATGTTCTGTCAGTCAGTTTAAAAAAATAATTGTAGCACTTCATTCATATCCAAACATAAAAAAGATCTTTTTTAGTCATTCTGCATTATTCACATCATTATTTGTCTTTTCACTGAATTCTTTTTCAAAGTAAATCAACTCCAATAAGATTGTTGTAGATTTTAGGTAAGGTGTTTCTCTGTTGCCACAGCAGAATATGTCAACACAATCCTAATTAAAATATACTACCATTTGATTTGGAAACTGGAGTTGTCTGCAGCAGAAGAAGAAATTTGTGCCTGTTGAATAAAATTTACTAATAGAGTAATAAAGTTCATAATATAATAATAGAGTACTTAAAATTAATAGTCAGGTTTTTAAAGAAGCAAGTTTTTACATACTGCAGGTTCTGGTAGGGTAGAAAAACAGTTGATACATTGCAATTGGGTAAGCTGAAACTGTCCACTTTCCTGAGGTCTATTATCTACATTTTGGTTTTGGGAAACATGATTTGTAATGGTGGGTAGATGTTTCCTTACAGGAAACATTTGAAATTTGTTGAGTGAAGAATTAGCATTACTATTGGTTGAAATTTATAAAATCTTTTTCTTAAAACAATTTTTCAGGAAAACATATTTCTCAAGTTTCCTGTTATCACTCTTTATAGTATTGGTGGGTGTTTCCTTCCTAACCTTTTGTTTAAGGCAGTGTGGAACATGAAGTGGTTAGGAATGTCAACATCTTGATTATGTTGTCATTTTCTCAGAAGAGAAAATGATTGTATATAGCTGATAGTTTATACATATTTCTGAAGGAGTTGGATGTCATGCATGACATACGTGCTAGTTTAGATCTAATGAGGCTGTTTGAGAACATGACTTTAGTTCTTAGGTTAATGTTTTGGTTTTGTCTCATCTTATTCTAAGTCCCTATCCCTAGTGCAGCCTGTCTTGCATTCAATTTCCTCATCTCTGAGACTAAATTTGTTCTAAGTGATTCATATACTGAGATTTATTAATTTCACATTTTGAATTTTTATGATGGATTCAAGGTAGAGACATTTATAACCAAATAAAACTTTATATGTTCAGACGAAGTAGAGACTGAAATGATATAATCTACAAACCTGAAGCATGATATGTTAACAGTAATATTAGCTGTTTCCCTATAAGGAAACATTTGGCATTCATTGACTGAGCAACCAGTATTTGTTTTGTTGAAATTTTATATCTTAAAACAATTTTTTGGGGGAAAATAAGTTTCCAGTAGTCCAGTAGCTTTTATTGCTCTTTCCAGTATTGATAAGGGTTTACTTTCTAACTTTTAGTTTAAAGTAGTGTGGAATGTCAACATTTTGATTATGTCATAATTATTCTCTTCAAGTTACAAGTGATACCCATTTTAGCTGTGCTGCTGTAGGTAGTCCTCAAGTGACATGGTTTCTTCTGTTTGGTACACTTCTTTGTTTGCGAATCTCTAGCGCCAGTCCACAATGTCCAAAGAAGGATGATCTTTGCCAAGACTCTGAAGCTTCCCTTGCTCAAAGCCTTTTTTAATCATAGATAATCATAATTCAGACATTATGCATGGGAACATTATTTTTTCTATAATATTTAGAACCTTTTATAGACTTTCAGTTGATGCTTTACCACAGGGGTTCCCAAAATTTTTTCTCTGGACTGAATTTTCAGAATTAAAATTTGCTTGTGCTTCACCGAATTTTATGTGATAAAAGGTATATTTGAAAATAAAAAACAGAGAGTGATTCAAAGGGAGATAACCGCAGTTTCAAAGTCAGAACATTATCATTGATAACTCTCTCCTCCAATTTGCAGAGCCTAGTTTCTGTATTCTTAATACTTGATATAAAAAATATCACAATGATAAAATCGGTCAATAATTATTTATAATTATTTACACAGGGACTCATGCATGCAAATAAAAGTAATGAATAATAATATTTTAAATTTTGAAATCATATTTTTTTTTAGCGTATGAATTTTTTGAAACTGTTTGTAAATCTTTGATTATCTTTCAATCATTCTGCCTCACCTGTTATTCTCTCCCACTGCACCTATCAGGCATGTTGCCCCACTTGGGAACTACTGCTTTACCATAATCTTAACAATGGTCTTGCCTTTGAGAAGAGTCAGAAATATTCTAAAACAGTTGAATACATTCTCTGTGTTGCTGATGTTTGCAGAATGACATTTCAATCAATCTATTTTCCAGCATTCCTCAGGTGTATAAGGAGAGAGAGAGAAAATAGTTTCTTTTCATGTTTCCTTGAATAAGATGAACAGGAAAATGTCCTCTTTAATTTAATAAGTATGCCTAAATACCCAATTTTAAACTGGCTGTGTACAGTGGACAAAGAAACCCTTACCAATTATATATGGCAACTAAAAGAACAGTTACATACATAATAATGATGATAATTTTCCATTTACCTTTCATTAAAATTTCCTTTGTCTTCTTTTTAAGTCCATTAAGATAAAATATACAATAATAAATAAATATAAATGGTTTCTAAATGAATTACATTGTTTTGTATCATTGGTTTCCCCTTAAGTTTCTCAGAATTGAAAAATTTCAATCAATTCCATAAAATATAAAAGAAAATATAGATAAGAGCTGAATAATAATATGAAACCAATTGTTTAAACTGACCGTTAGAGTGAGGTTTGGGTTGTTTATCAGCCATAGCTTTGGCCGGCTTATTGCAGGTGTTGTTGTCTGAGTTGTTGATAAGGAACTGGCAGGTGTTGTCTGAGTTGTTGATGAGAAATTGGCAGGTGTAGTTTGATTTCCTGGTAATAGAAAAAAAAATATTAAATTGTTTTTTTTCTTGAAAAGAAATATTTTTCTTAAAATACATTATTCTGTAAAAGGAAGAAAAAATTCAAATCTGTTTAAATCATTATTTAAAATCAATGATATTTTAAAATAAAACCTATTTTACAATCAAGCTTCCTGAAGAGTGGATGTAATTCTGCAAAAACTCAGAGACAAGATAAATGAAAATTTTATTTTATTTATTTTTATTAATGCTCACTCACTTGATATCAAGCAATCTAATCATAAAAACTGCTTACCTGAATAATGTTATACTCCAGAAATACCTAAGTTGATTTTTCTTTTTGTGTGTAATGGAGTAGGCAAGTTGGGTGTTGATGTATTATTTTCACCATTGTTATTATTTGTTGACTGTAATGTGTTTTATATTAATGGCAGAAATTAAAATGCTTAAAACGTAACAACAATAAAAACTTGAGACATGTGAATAACAAGAATTTGTATTTTCTTTTTTGTGATGTGAATTACAGAGTATTGGTATAATGTGTGTAAAAAATGTTCTTAGTGTCTCTTTTTTTTAAAAGTCAGTGCTTACTTAGTTTGGTTCTGAGAATTTCGTTTGTGAGGATGCATTTGAAATCATCTGTTTTCGATCTTCATGGAGCGCTGGCTAGACATATATTTCTAAACTGCTACTGCTACCTGTCTACTCATCTACTGACTACTGCTACAGGTACCTTAGTCTACTCTAGTCACTCTACTAACTCTTTTGTAGTGGAATTGTCGTTTTTATAATGATGAAGGTAAGATGATGAAATATCCTTCTTTTCTACCATCACCGATGACAAGGTTATTTTTAGAATGATGAAATAGCATCATCCTTCTGGATCATACAATATGAAATACAATCATTGTTATTGTTACATGTTACTATATATGTATATGAGCTTTATTAGAGATGTATGAATGCATATTTATATTCTAACAGACATTTATTTATAATTATATTAATTAATAAATTTATTTATTACTTTTATTTACATTTTATTTTATATCATGTTTATAAGTCTACCATTCATTGAAGCGTTGAATATTGCTGTCATATACGGTCTGGTACTTCTGTTATGTATTTAGAGATTCTTGATAAAATCCAAAGAAGAATCTGTAATGTTATCAGTCCTGACCTGGCATTTCAGCTCCAGTCCCTTTCCCACTGCTCTAACAGCTTCCCTGTGTCTTTTCTATAAATATTTTCATAGTAATCGTTCTGATGAGCTATCCTCTTTAGTACCTTGACGTTAATAATTTAAGTGCAATTCCAGTTTGAAAGTTTTATGCTTACAGTTTCTTCTCTTGAACTTCTTGCTTGTGAAACTCTATGCTGTCCGCTTGCATTCCAGTCAACTACCATCTTCAAAAATTTTAAAGCAATTTCAATTGTTATCTTTTGTTTTTTTTAATTCCTGTTGGCTTATGGTAATACCAAATTAAAACACATGTTCTCATATGATCACCAAGGTTAAGCATTGTTGAGCCTGGTCAATACCTAGATGGGTTACTATTTTGGAAAACCAAGTGCTGTAAGTTTAGATGTGTGGGTGCTGTAATAGATAACAGCTTGTAATTGGAAATAAGAGAGCCAAGTTCTATTGTCAGTCAGGTGCATTATATTTATGAGTAAATACCTTTGGGAAATATATGTATCCACTCCTTCTCCCTTCAGCTCTGGGTTAATTAGTAGGAATTGTATCAGTAAATCATTATTATCTCCCCGCCCCCAATGCTTACAATCTAAAATCTGCCTTTAAATAACCTACAAAAGATTGATAAGCCATGAAAAAAAGCAATCAATCTTAATTCCTGATTAAAATGAAATGATTAAAAAAAAACATTGATTGCACTGCATATTGATCTTCAGTTATCTTCTAATCATTATGAAGTTTTTAATTCTTTTATTTACTTATTATTATCTGTCTATCTACCTATGTTTACATCTATCTGTTCAAATTTATCTGTTATTAAATGCCATGTCAATTGTTATCTTTTGTTTTCTTAACACCTGTTCTTTCATTGTTCTCTCTCCTTAATGTTTTTTTTTTTTCATATTATTTCACACTCAGTAACACTTTGCATCTTAGTGGCTTTATTGCCTTGCTTGAGTTGAAATGATTAAAAATCTTAGCATAACACATAAACTTAAATGTCTGGTCACATAAGTATACAGAATTATAAAATTGTTCTTGATATATAAAAATTGACATAGCCTTTTCCCATAGATAAGTCTCTACTATATTTTGTTTGCAAGCATTGTTCAACTATCAAAAACCTTTTGGTCATATATTGATTGTAATATTCATTTTTCTCCCTATTTCTGAACAATTAATCAAAACTTCAACTGCTCATGTATCCTCTTCTTTCAGTTTCATGACGTGGAGAATCATGGTTCTCCTCTACTTCTTGTATTTTGTTGCTCAAAGTAATGTTTACCCATACTCTATAGCCTATTAATACATGTAGCTAACTTAGCTCTATAATTTACACAGATACAACCATCACCACTGCCACCACCACCATCATTTCATTATTGCTGCTATCATTATGGGGTCTTCTTTTATGTACCAAGTCTCTTCCAGGGTGTGAATGACCATGGCTCTCCTCAACTGTTAGTGTTTTTTTTTTAAAGTAACTTCTGACTCTTTCTCCTCCCTCTTCCTCCCTGTTTTGCTATTCATTCATCCAAACTTATTAAAGAGCCTTTTTTCTTACATTCAGTGCCTTTTGAGTGTTAAATTCTCCTGGTCCTCTTTCCTCATTATGTATCACAGAAATTTAAAATGTCTCTTTCTGATTCTAAGTACCAATTTTCTTGAAGTTTCTATTCTCCTTAAAATTACCCATTGTGCTTTCCATGTTTTTTTCATCGTATTCTCAGCATTCATCAATAGAATGACATTTCTCTTACTTTAAGTCTTTTCTTCATCTGTTAGGAGATCATGCAGCATTCCCTGCCATATAAGAAATTAGATATTACGCAGCAGTTCAGTACTCTTCCTTTTCTTTCTTGCAATATTTTCCTCTCTCTGCTTAGTTTCTGAAAGACAGCTTTCATTATTCTTTGAACTTTGAAATTTCCAGTATCTGTTTTTGTTTTTTACAGTAAGGTTCACCCTTTAAAAAGCCCAGAGGCCACTTGATGTAGAGGGTTATATTAGGAGGCAATTTATCAATTTTTTGAAGATAACGGATAACCCTAGACTTGAACAGGTTAAGATTGTAGTGGTTAGGGAAACATCCTCTTGGGAGTCGGTTGCATAGAACAGTGGTTTGTGAGAAGAAAATGTTCAAGTGGAACTTATTTCTCACTGATGGAATATGGAGAGAATGCAGGTAGTTTGCTGCTATGTAAGTGCCATGGTGGGTCCTTGCTGTGAAGGTTTGAATTGGCGTGACCAAGGAACGAAGTTCGTTCAAGCACTTTCCATATAAGTAGTGATAGAGCAGTGAGAGACTTTCCAGTTCCCGCCTGCAGGAGACAGGTTGGAGAATAATTTATCACCTACAAGGGCTTGGAGATGCTTTCAGACTCTATCAAGGCTTGAGAGTAAAGTCTAGGCAGCTCCATTTTTGGCCTGATCTGGCTCTTGTAAAGATAGAGGATAGCAAGAGAAATCAGGTAATTAATGGAGTGATACAGGGAGCTGATCCTTTTAACTGCATCTTTAGCAATGGATTGTATGTAAAAGTTCTCCTTGCAGTCAGGTGTGAGTTTGAGGCCCAATAGTCTATCAAGGTACGGTGCCTCCCCGAGGGGACATCTGTTCATCATGACTGGTGGTAGTCCGTGGTCTGATTGGCGATGATGGAAGTTGTTCTTTTTAAGGAGCTCAATGACATTCTTATTGATTATGGCTCAAAAATATTACTGATGATATTGAGGAAACTGATGTGTCTGTACTGGGAGGGGGAAGATCATACACACACATTCTTGAAAACCAGGCATAAACCTGAAACTTCCACAGGCTTAGGGAGAATTTCTCCTTCAAGCAGTAGTTGAATGACTTCACTAGGATTGGGGATAATTCCAGGTTGATATTTTTAGATAACCACTGGAATTTTGTCTGGGCCAGTGGCTTTCTTAGGGTCGAGGCCTTTAGTTGATAAGTCTAGATACTTCTTATGTTGTAATGGTAATATTACTGAGTTTGTGCTCAGTGAGACATGGGAAATTGGGGAGGAAATGATCTTTGTTGTCTAATGCTGAGTTTGAGGTAAAGATTGAGGCATAGACGTTTGCCTTGTCTGTTGAGAAAGATATGACTCTGTGGCCATTTATAATTGTGGGCACAGCCACTTTACCTCTGTTCATGATTTGGTTGGTGAGCTTTCAGAACTTGTGGGATCCAATGGGATTCTTTTAAACCTTGGCCTGGACTGCTTGTGCATAGTTGCGCTTGGTGTTTTCTAGAACTTATTTGCAGTGATTGTGGGCAGACCGGTTTTCTAAGAGTTCCTATTTTACTTAAAACTTCCTCATTGTTCAGTCCAAAGTTTTCTCAGTATTCCTCAGGAGAAAATTCAAAACTGACACTTCAAATTGTCATATAATCCAGTTTCATTAAATTTCAAATCAGTCACATTATTTGAAACCTGATGCTTATTGAACTTTATACAATGATATGTGCTTTTCACTATAAAGGATACAAATTTTTTGAATATTATCAACTCTGAACATGAAAATGCAAAGTAAACAATTACAGAGGGTGCATAATGTACAGTTAAGTAAACAACTTAATAATTAGAAACAGTGGTGGCTCACAAATGAAATAATAAAGTTATTATTGCACCTTTTGAATTCTTGCTTCCCACTCACCTACAATTTGCAAGAGTTTAGATGCAATGCCAACTGCCATCTTCTGTTTTCCTGAATCCTGTTCTTTTATTGTCCTTGCTCTTCACTTCTCACTAAAGTTTTCTCATTCTCTTTCACTCTCAGTAACTCCATGCATCCTAGTAG